CCGCGGGAACCTCAAATCCTACTTAACAGTTACCTTCGTCAGTTTAACCGGTATTGGAAAAGAAATTTGTTACTTAACGACTGCACGTATCACGTCGAGAATCACGAATGAAGACCGAGAGAGGGGAAAGATGTAGGACAAGGAGGGCGTGACGTGCATAAAGTAACATATAAAGAGGAATCTGTAAATCAGGATTCATACTGCTGATTTAATGAAAAGTGCCGCTAATTATGAGCAACTTGAGACTTCAGGAACATTCGGATTTTTTTCAGATAGTTCCTGAAGAATATCGAGCACGCAACCTTCACCTGCTGGATTAATTTAATTATCTGCACCTTCTGAAAGCTATTTCTCTGAATTGGCGATATTCTTTTAAGAATGTAAAACTCGTACATGAAACTTAATTTGTTTCTTCTTCATACGAACTTTCCTTCGGTTTTACAGTTACAGTATTGCATTTGAGAAAAAAAATTACCGGCGTCTTTGATTTAAATGTCTCGATTAATAAGTAGCTATCTTTATAACACGAAATTAAAAAATCAGTATATGCAAGTTTCCTTCCTGTGCACTTCGATATTAATGTTTGCTTTAATTAAGTAATTAATTTCTGGTTCTTTGTAGGAACGTGCCTGGTTTTTGTATATTCATGTCCTTTTTGTTGTTACTTTGTAGTAGTGGTCTTTTGTGTAAGCGAAATATTCAGTATATGGGTCTCATAAAATATCATCATTCACATTATTTACTCTTACACTTAACCGAGATAAGCATCTAAATTATTGCGCTCCTGTCTCACCCATTGTTCGCATTTCATCATTTATAGTTGCCTGTGTGCCTGCAAGCTTCTTACACGATTTCAGACAAATATTTTTTTTGCAATGCTTTCTTAAGTATTCAGTCTGAATTTTCTTCTGGTACTTAGTATTAAGAACTGTTTGTTCGTCCAAGAGTATGAAGTGAACACGTTTTGCAAAAGTACGTGGACTCGAATTTTCCGCAGCTGTTCTCACGACTTCATCGTCATTGATATGTCGAAAGTTATCTTAATGTTACTGCGATTAAAGATCTGACAGAGGTCGGTAGGTTTACAGTGAGGAATGTCACATCCATTTTAAAAGTGCATGTTTAAGATAGCAGTATCCATAGGACATGAAACAGAGTTAAGTATGGAACATTGGGAATACTAAAAATCTGAATTACAATGAACTACTTATTTAAAAAACTGTCATTATATCTAAGCCATAATATGAAAGACTATTGCTATGTAAAGGAAGGTCACACCTGTACCTCTAAGTATCGATCCATTAACGATAGAACACTATCAGTAATGGGTCAGTGTTTTAGAAGTGTAGGAATTTATAATTACTACTTTCCAATTAATCATGTTAATTGAAGATCTCATTTTGATTATGTACGCTCATCATAGCTAAATTATAAAGTAATTTTAAAATACTTTGAATTATAAAACTTATGACACAAATTTAATATGTATATAAAATACAAGCATAACAGCTGATATACAAATTACTTAGATTTCTCACGGAAACAACAACACTGAAATTTTATCCTTAAGATATACAGATATATATATGCTGACTGACGGTTTTCACTTACATTAGATCATTCCTCAACTAAAATATGGACAACATACTTCTGTAAAATCAAGACAAAATACACATTGGTGCATTATAGTACACATATGTTACGTTGAAGTACTATTTTAAATACAGTTGAACATCAAACAGCTGACTTATACGAAGCATGAATTTTTATGGTGATGAAGACATGGTTGTTGGAAATTATAGTACTATGGTTATACGGTGCAATATAGGATATAAATTACAGAGTGGTGAGTCAGTTTGTTTTAAAATGCTAAATAACTGACAAACAAAACACAAACCAGAAGTCATACCCTCACTACCCTCTATGACAAAACAGAACTGGTAAGATTAGTTTCAAATGCATTGAGTTCCTCATTTATAATTGAAAAGAGAACTTTTACACCTTTAGTCATCAACATGCAGTGATATATTAATTTCATACCAGTTGAGTTTCTGTACTAAAAATGTATTACTCTTATGACATCACAGTAAATATATTCTACAAATTCTGGTCCAACTAGATCTTAAATATACAAGTTTGCAAAAAATATTTTCTGGGGATTACAATTTATATTATTATTTATTAAGTTTTTTACTGTCAGAGTCATAGTATTTAATTCATACTGCAACTAATAGCAAAATGACTTCTGAAGCTTTGCATAAGGTATATCTGGAGTCACCTAATGCGACTATTCTTAACCCCCTATGATCCAGGTTATCTTTTTCAGAACAAAAATCATTTTTGTCATAAGCAGCTTACTAAATCAAAAGTTTTAGCGTGCTTAATCAAAAAACAAAATTTTTAACTTAACGTGAGAATAAGCTTTTTGTTATTGTTGATATTATAACTGCACAGGATAAACTATTGTATTTAATTTGTTTCAGTCGGAACAATGAAGATTTGTTACTTTCTGTTCTAAAGCAATACTTCTACTTACTATACTTATTGAGCCAATACTATTTTTGAGCTCTTTCCGCCATCTTCCAAAACGTATCTATTTGTCGATCGATATAATTTAATTCACAAGCATTGAGTTGCTTTCATCCATCTAATAATTAAAATTAGCGTAATAAATGCGATGTTCGTGCGGACCGATTGGTCCCTAGGTAGAAAGTAGCAGAAAGCTGAACGATTTCTCTGGCGCTCAAGCTTACAAATGACTCCACGGCAAAAGCATTATTGTTTTATCGCATTTATCTTCAAACACATCCAATTCGCGCGACGGAATTACATGTTCAGTAGTTCATGACAGTTTACCGATTGCATTGCTATAATAATTTGTTTTCGTATTATCGGAAGAAGTTTGTTGGATGTAGTGTAAAGAACCCTACATACCTTGTACCGTAGAATTTAGTTTATGTAATTCCAGTATGGTTATTGAGAAACCACTAAATTGAAACTGAAAAATTTGTTAGTTCGCCTGAATACTTTTAATGCTAAATTAATTCATTTAAATTCAGGGAGAAAATTATACCGTAATTGTTCTGGATGTCAAATACTGATACAATCTTCGCTGACTTGAGACTTTAAAATTAAAAAAAAATGTTCCTCTGAAAGCCTTTCCACATAAATGAAGGCACATTGAAGGGGATATTTATGTAATATTTTTAATCTTTGGTCATCAAATATTTGGTCTATATTTCCCCTCAGTATTTGAAGTTATACTTTTAATTGTTTATGTTAGAATTAAACGTTTTTATATTTTATTTTTCCTATTTAAATGGACCCCTAGGTGTGGCGCAATATATTCATATACTATATCTAATATATTATGAATTTAAAATTGGAGTACAATTTGATCACATCGTTAAAATGAGTCACCAATGCAAAAGGTGAATTGATAGTTTACTTGTATTTAGGTTTAATGCTAATGACTAGTTTGGTTTTGATATATTTGCTTGTCGCTGGCAGTCAACATCGAAGCAACAACTAATATCAAATAATTCTGAATTAGCCATTCCCAGACACGAGTCTCGCAGTATCTTTAATTACCTGGAATGTGCATGTAGTCTAGTTCAGTTTAGGACCTGTGCTGTATACCTTGTATTGATTATGTGGTAATTGTTGCTAAATATTGAAATGTCATAAATTTAGTTCAATAATAGCGATACTGTTTTGTATCTTTATCACTGGTTAGAGAAAGGGTTTCCTTCTTATCCATTCGCATTAAGTGCTTTTGATGTTCAGTCATGTGTAATTTTTATTTTGCTACACTGGCTGACATATCAAAACAGGCCTACATTCGTGTGACTTTTTATTATGTTAAACAGATTAAACGTATTTTGAAAATTAATTTTGTCTGATTTTTATTGCTAAATTACTAATTGTAATACCCACTAAGTAGAATTGTAGAGATGCGTTAATTCGTCATTTTAATAGTAAGTTATTTTTCATTAATTTGCCACAAAATTTGTGCAATATTTCAGTAAGTTTTTCTGAGTAGGCCTGTTTGAAACATGTTTTGTGAAACCAACAACACACGAACTTTTTCAGCCATTTTCTGAGCAGCTGTTGTGTATAATTACTCATTTTCTTGCGTGCTTTTATGTGGACTATGGATAAGCGACGCAATTCATTTATAGATTATTGTGTGTATTCGTATTTATTCACAGTAAAACCCTGTAAAATGTTCCGCTACTTGGAAGCACATCTTGCTGATTTGTTTCCACATACTCATTTTTTATAGCTTCTGACATTAGGATACCCCAAACACATCTTTTAATTCCCATACCACACATTTATGCATTCGTTTTAACAGAGACCTGAAGACATTCTATTCTGATTATGTTTACATGCTTATTTAGTTGAACAATGGTATAAAACTGTGACTATTTGGTCAGTCTAATTTAAATATAAAAGGGTTTATGTCTGCAGAGTGAGACAAATTGTATTTATTTTTAATCACTTTTAAAACGTGCGTATTTTGGAACGTTATAGTAACAGCTTCGATGGGTGTTAATAATGAAAGTTTAGGGAATGCTTATGTTTTGTTTTTGATTACTAATTGAATCACAAGTATATTTGGTGTGTAGTAACCCCATTTTAAAAACTGTAGTTTTAAAAATACTATTGATGCCACTATAAAATTATATGAATCTACATTCTAGATATACGCTGCAAAGTGACTTATATTTATAATTATTTTGAATAAAAAATTCCTTCTTCCGTAAAATAGTGTCTTAAAATGTTATTATTAATTAATAATAGGCTATTAATGTGCGCATACGCACTGTGCCTGTGACTGTGTGTGAGATACTTGACCGAAGTTGGTTAGTAAGTGTGCAAACAGTGCAAAACAGATTTTGTAGTAACCGGGACTCTATAAACACTTACGCTACAGTAACAAAATATTTCGGAATAATTAACACACATATAACTGAACGTACAAAAGCATGACACAGAAATAATTTACGAAAATAAAAGACACATAATCGTATTACATATTTGTCTTTATAAGTTAAACATTTTATAAAAATTATCAATTTAAACATGTTACTATATTCTATTAACATGCTGAAACATGTTTATCAAGAACTCGTACATGTCATTACTTGTCGTAGCCCATTTATAACGACCATACATTGTATTGAGTCATCTTAAAAATTGCGAACAGCAAATTTACTCAGCGGTCACCTCACGTAAGTTCCTTTACACAACGGTCGGCAATGGTGGCCTGGACTGCCCAAACAGAAGCGAGTTGTCGAAAAGAACACTAGTTCGCGCAAGACCTGTGCAATTCAAGCTACCCGCAACCAGTAAATGCAAACAATACTTTCCTTAGTATCGTGTCAAAAATTAATTTCGTCTCCTTCGCAAAAATTGATGCAGAGTCACATGAATATCGGACAAGAAAGATATTTAAATAATTATTTTCAAAATAATAGAACACGATAAATTGTAAAGTAATTAATTATCAGTAACTAAGTATGACGCAGAATCAGATATTTCTTTCTAAAAATGTACAATTTTATTAAATTTATTTATGGCTGTGGATTTATAGAAACTAAAGTTAAACCGTTTCCTACGAATTTTGATAAAGCCATGTTTATGATTCCTTTTAATTTTTAACGGAATGATAATATTTTTCCTGCATAAAATTTCGTATCTTCATTATTACTTTAAGCCATTTAAAAATGCATCACTTAATACTTATATTATTGCATTTTTTCAGAAAATATACTGAGTTCTCCGTGTTAAGAGGCTAAATCATAAGTATTTGTCATTCTTTATAAAAAAATTCCAATCTAATTATTCAGTTAATCTGATCTGTCATAAATGGGCTAATACCTAATCCTTCTATTTATGGCTAATTTCTACATACTAACCTATGTTTTGTAATATAAACAATATAAAAATCCGTCCATTCTTTTTGAAAAATTACACTTTAGAGAACATGTAAGTTTTCACACGACTTTGATTTGGAATCCCGTGCCCAAACTTTACCAAGGAGGCCCTTCACCTTCAGGCTGGTGGACGTTCTGGAGCCCCTGTATGGTTTGTGACCCCCTGATCCACCCAGGGGGGACTTGTTTCTGTTCTTCTTGCGGGAACAACTCCTCTTCCTGAACAGGTCCCTTGCGCGCTCCGGGTTTTCCAGTTTGAGCCTGATTTGTGTAAGTATTCCCACAAGCAACTCGTCCACGTTGTGGTTGATGCCCACCGAAGTCTCAATGAACTTGCAGTCGTAAGATGTCGCCATGTTCTTCCCCTCTGCAGCAAACGAGATGAAATATGCTTAAATTTGTAGTTCATTTGTTGCAGCCTTAGACTTCCTTAGTACTGCTTGTATGGAGACGTTTTTGATTGTCCATTTGGAGTAGAGTTTAAAGAATACTGCACAAAGTGATCTTAGTTTGTCCTAAGGAATTTATCTGGAAGACTGAACAGATTAAATTGTTTGCCTAAGTTACGACGCTGTGTTAGGTGTTGAGGTTGTGTAGAATTATTTGTGCTAAGATGATGGCGAATGAAAACTTTAAAAAGGTGTGGAGGGTAACAATTGTAGACACTAAAATGATTTTTCTTGTTTTTTTTTGAGACACTGAGGACAACTGCGAGAAACTACAGGATAGCTAAGTTACCTCGTGCAAACGACTCAGACCCGTTAATGCCGTGTCGACCTGATCGATACGACTGAATAAAAATACGAGAAGCTTAGCTGAGGCTAGTTTTTATTCCGACCATATCCGGGAATTTGCCGGTCGCTGCTGTGCTAGACTGCTGTATTTAAAAGAGAAATCCAGAAGTGAAGTTTGTAATGTAATGGCATTTCCTGCAGTAGAAGGCAAAGAGAAGAATAAACGACGTCTGTCAAGAATACATTTTATAAAATTCAGGTAAGAAGGCCAGGTATTCATTTTTCGATATGTTCACATGAACTGAGCAATATCTAATTGTACGTAATGCACATTTACATTACATTCAACGGCCGTGAAACAGAACGAGCTATGGGCTGATTAACTGAGTCTTTAAACGTGGCACGCCTGAATATGGTAATAAATGAGACTGAAGCAGGGGCCTGATTTATTTTCTTTAGCGGAAACCTTTGAAGACTGTTGAGAAATGTTTCTACAACATATAAGCCTGTGGGAGCTGGAAGACGTGGAATTCCTGAAGGGACGTCTAATTTATCTGAAGGAAGTATATCAAGACGAAGAAATAGCTGTGAAGCCGGAAGTGTGCTTGGACTGACACGTCTTATAAAAGATAATTCAAGATTAGACGTCATTTAATTCATTTGTACCATGTAGTAGGAAGCGTAAACTGGCATCAGTACTCTTCCTTACTTGTCATATTTACGTGGAGAGAGCAAGAAATTTCTCAGAATACTACAAAATCGAATGCCCCTTGGATGTATGCAGAGCTTCAAACGGCGCTCACAGAGACTTGCAGTGGCCTCAGCACAACTGTTATGATCGTGCATGTGAAATTGGCTAACAGTCCTGTGGATTAACAGACTGATAGACATACCTTAATTCTTTTTTACATGTCCTTTAGATGATCTGAAAAATACTAGTAGGCCTATAAATGTTGATAATAATATTAATAATATTTGACTTTAACTGAATTGCTTTCCGGAAAGATGTTATAATAATTTTAGATTGCGAATATTAGCCTAAGAGATATTGAATATTTTCTACAGGTGCTAGGATTTCTTGGTTGGGGGATTTAGGTCATTGAAAGGTGAGTTACATGATCCAATTAAAGCGGACATGAGGACGTGAAACACCTGAATACCAGGATTATCTGTTTGGACCACTTATTTATGTTTTGTGAGACCTTTTAATGTATCTCATTCAAGTAGCACTGCTGAGATGAAGCGTTATAGCAACATCACGCCATTAACTGAAGGTGTGCTTATGATTATCCAAGGGAAACTTGACTTAAGTTCGGTCAATGTACTGTGATGGGAAAGCCGGGTCTACAATGCATAGGAGATGAGTTTAAACAAATCCAATTCAGTCTGTGCTGCTGTGTTTATCTTTAAGAAAACAGAAATATACACGTAGTCGCTACAGGCTACATCCTTATTTCTCTCGTAAACATTGATCTGTCAAAAGTATAGGAAATTACTTGAAACTTTAATAAGGCAACAAACTTCAGTTTTGATTACAAGTAATTATGTGGTTTTTTTCTGAACACGTATTGAGAAGAAAACTGGTGATGCAGCAACAAACAACTTAAGTCCTTAGGGCATTTTAATTTAGCACATATTTTTCTTTTACAAAAGTTATAAACAATTTGCTCGTCAGTCTTAGATTTATTCAAGTGAGCTCTGCACTTGCACACGTTCTGAAATCTCGTAGAATATGCGAATCAAAGTTTTGTCTCTAGCAGTCACGACGAACATAGTAACAATCGGTACTACATACCGTAATATTTTCTTACTTGATATATTTATGACAAGGAAAATTTGCATACTTCGACTCTGTTTCCAGCATATTCTGACTCAAAGGAACTGAAGTATAAATTAATAACTTACGTTTAAATTTCGCTTGCTTATACAGTAATATTATCCCACTTATATCAAAGTGTGTTGTTATTTTTATCATTACCACAATTATTGCCAGGATAATTTCTGATTTTGAGTGTTATGCATGGAGATATTAGTCCGTTACAAGAGCTGTAGTTGCAGGTTGGGTTCAGTCAAAATCGGCGAAGTATTGCCTTCTATTAACCCTTCATATCGCGTAGTTTTAAATGTAAAAGATAATTTTATATACAGACTATATTTATTACACTAGTTGTCACGTTGTGTCTTGTTTACTTGATGCCCTGACAGCTTTGTCACTGGGGAAATGACGCGGGTACTGATTGGATAGGCCCTTAGGAACTTTGTGAATAGGAAGTCCTGCCGTGTCAGGAAACGACTACGGTAGAACGCGCTCAGAATTACCTTAATTTAGTGTCTCAGTGGAGCTCTGTGTTAAATTTACTTAGCTGTACACTTTATAACTTAAGAGATCCTCTAAAGTAACATTGAAGCAAGGAGACAATTTGTAACAGGTTACATACGCCCTCTTAAAATGGTATACTGATGTTATATGCGACTTGTTATAAAATAACCGTGTTTCAATGTGGGACAGTACTAAATAATTTATTGACTGTGACAGTTAGATTCGCATTATTTACGCATAAACGTAACGAAATTGATATTTATATCAAAATAGATGGTATTGAATATGATTATCGCACTGTGGTGTGTTTTGGTCTCGTGCTAGCATTTGTAGGGTCTCCTAAGTACGATGGTAGGTAGTCACTAAATGTTCAGTTAGTCCATGTTGAAGCAACAACAGCGCATTAGACTTAATTACGTTGAAAGTACAACATACATTTCTATTTTAAGTTTAGCAGAGGCTGAAGTATATTAATTTAAATCTTCTCGGACGCGTGAGAGTGGAGCTTCGGAAACTGTATCTTTTTCATCTTCATGGGTAGATGATGATGATAGTAATAATAATAATAATAATAATAATGGGAAGAGCACACATCTTTATAAATACATTAACGTGGTCAATCGTTAACTCAAAGTGTATATTCTAGATGCTGCTATGAATAAGAATCGAGGGGAAAATTTCGAAAATAATTAAATCATCCGTGGTGATGGAGGCAGAGGTAGTCTCCGAAACATTTGATACTGACTCCACTCTCTCACAGCTGATCACTCGGAAAGATTTATTTGCATCCAGTAATAGCAAAAGCGCAAAATCTTGAACCGTCCTGTCATTTGTCTTCGAAAAAGCCAACTCGTGTCTCCAGCTGCCTCATGCCGTAACAGCAGGGCCTGTACTAATTGTCTTTGTTCTTGGAACTCACCTTCAGTGGGAACGGTCCTGCTCCTAACAAGGTCTGTCTTGTTTCCCACTAGGATAACAGCTTTTGAAGACACTGTGTCGTTCTTCCACAGACATTGTAGGATCTCCTCAGCGCATCGCAGGCTAGCTCTGTCCACCGTCGAGTAGACGACGCAATATGCGTGCGGTTCGTAAGATGAAATGCAGTTTTCTGGCTGTGGACAAATGCATATTTTCACTTTTTCATAATTTTGTACTAAAGGAATTTTTATTTATGTCATCATCTCCGTATGTGTCTCCCTTAAATCTATTCAAACCGTTTGATGGATTTCTATAAGACCTGGTAAAAAAACTGATGTCACTGGATCGTCGGTAGCGCAATTTTCTGTGATTGGGGTCTAATAGTTCTTGGGGAAAATATGTCGTGTATGAGGAGTTCTTTCACTTTTGTTGACTGTAAAATAGGAAGATGGTGGTCGCGTAATCTTGATTTAACTTCAGATTTGATTACGATAATGATATATTGGAGCTAGGAACGTCGAATTTTGAATTGAGATTAATCACAAGCACAATAATTACAAATTCTGTTTATGACAACGTCCATAATTTATCAATTACAAACATGGTGACTGTGTACAACCTCTGGGTTATATATGTGATATTTTTAAAGCAGTTGGAATTTATACTCGTGTGGTTTATGAGCAGAAATGATAATTAAATTGTGTAATTACTTATTTACAGAATTTTCTATTAACACCATATAGTTCGAAGCAATTGAATTAAAGTGTTATAAGTTCTTCAGAAAACTTATATTTTGTGGGTCAGTATTTAAATATATATATAAATAACATCTTGTCTTAATAAAGATATTAAATAACTTAAAATTTAGTAAAGACTCTTTCCAAAATGTTATGAATAGTGGCTCCGATACAGGTTACAGCGTTGTTCAATGGCGCACGCACAAGCGAAATTTCACAATCGGCAGTTATCAAGATAAGTTCAAATAGAAATTTAGGTCGCTCCTTCCCGAATTGAAACTGTAAATCTCAGATTTCCGTTATTCCGTTAGATGTCGTCTTTGAAGTCGAAACAAAGTAAACAGTTCGGTCTTGGTAGTTTATTCGGAAAAATTCCTACACGAAATCAGTTGAATAATGTAGCTTCTAAGTTAATACGTTGAAGGTGCGCTAGCAACTAACAGAATGCGGCAGTATGTGTTGATGCACTGTTCCAACATTTGTCTGTAGCGACTGAGGAAAACTATGGACACCTCAATTCAGAATAAGTGGTCTTATGTCAGGACTTGAACCACGGGATGCGACATCACCGCTGTAATTCTGTAGATCGATCCCAGGCAGATAAAGTTCTGCCGCCTGTTCCACCGGGTGTTTGGTTTGACTCCACGTGGCTAAGTCCGGAGTCCCTTCACCCGTAACGTTTGATCCGAAAAGTGACAAACAAATTGCCCTATGAGGGACGACTCCAGAGACTGTAAGACTATCAATTGTGTTATGAATTGGTAAAGAAACCTGCGATTTCCTGATACGTACAAGTGCTGTTGACTCCGTAAAACGTAGATTAGTACAGGATAAAGTGAAATTAATAGCAGAGTTCAAATAACAAAGAACCACTGCTAACTGTACTACGTGCAAATAGATTCTTCTCTGAATGTCTTTGTTTTCTTTGTTTTGGAGTATTTCTATCGGTTGTTTTAAAAAAATCTTTAAAACCTTAATACCTTCCAAAAATTACTGCGTTGAAGACACCTATTTTGTTAGATTCCATACACAGAGTGTTCTCGATATGTTTACCGAAAATGCATTATTATTATTGTTCAACATGTACTTTTTATATATTTTGTGTTGTGTTGTCGTTTTTATTGGATTCCCTTTCAGTGCTTGGTACGTTAATCCTCTTGAAAAGCATTTTAAAAACTGAATTTAATTGAATCATACTCTTGTTGTTAAGGGAGGAAGCGATTAATTTATCTGAAAGTAATATACATTGAGTGACCTTGCACAATATGCAAGGACCATGAACATTATTAGGCATCAGAATATAGATCATCAATTGGCAAAAATCTTTCGGGCGTCTGCACAGATGGACCTGGTGCATGTTTTACTTTTCCTTCATTTAACGGGGTTGTCGGAATTTCCCAAAAAGATACTGTAAATTGCAAAGGATTTCGCTTGAAATACTACGGAGTGTGTGTTTGTTGGATAGCTGTATTGTATATCAACTTTGGTGGCTGTGAACGAAGCCAGAAACAACTGAATTTATGCATTAGCGGTCCACAAAATACTCCATAAATTTCAAGGTACATAAACTATGCGACTGAGAAAGTAACGTTAAACAAATTAAGACAAAATGTTGGCATAACATTATTTTACGTCAGCAGTCAGTTGGTATTTAATTAAACTATAAAAAGGAGACTGCATGATTCTTGGTTGTGGGAGGTACGTATATAATGTTCCGAGATATGCAAAATTGTCTTCGTATTTTCATAAAACTGATTCAGATTCTTTGTGGGCTTTGGATGTTTTATGCTTAACTCTTGCAGAAAAGAGAACAAAGATCAGGTTGTTAACGCTGAATTCAGATAGAATTTCAAAGCAGGTGGTAGATATAGTTACCACTGGGTTCCTTTGAGTTATGAATATGGTTAAAATATGTATCTATATTCGTAAACAGTACGATATAGACGGATTTAGTCACCATACCTAAATGGAGGAACTGAATAGCAGCCCACAAGAAATAGCTCCGGTTGAACTAGCGGTGGCTGTGTCGAAATTGACCTAGTGAAATCGATGAAACACTCACCGACATCTCGGAGGACGGGTGATCGATAAACGTGAGCTCCGACTCCTCTCCGTCCAACAGCACACACACAGACTTCTCCCCAAACTCGTCATCTAAAACATAAAAGATCCACTTCACAAGTACTTTCGAGGAAATATGTAATTGAACGTTTCAAAGTAACTAATACGCCCCCCCCCCCCGATATGAAGGTAAGCACAACACATGTGGGTCCTGTTGTCTAAAAACGTAATCAACGAAATACAGAGAGCCGTAATTTTAGCTATTGTTTTGTGTGGGTGTTTAAATTCGTATCTTATATTAAGAGAAGAAAACAGATTGAAATTTTATCAAAATCCTTCGAAAGTTTCAGAGGAAGATTGGACGAACGAACAGACGGGAAAGAGAAATTAAACATTCTGAAAGGCACATTGAACTGTGTCCCTACTCGACTTTGGTCCAATCCAATTTGCTTTAAAAAAGGTTGAAAAGTTAAAAGGAATACAGAATTCTTTATAAGTGGAAACGTTTGGTAAATTTAAGAGCATTGAACAATATCAGTTGATGATCAGTTAATGTACGATGCTTCTTTAAAACACAGATATCACTTGGAATAGGCCTATTTTTGGTTTTAGTCTATTTCCATACAGCCCTTCAGGACATTATAGGCTATCGAATGACAATTATAACTCTCACCTATCGTGGTTCAGCGTGTGGAATATTTTTGTTACCGACGTTATAAAATAAAGAAGTGATAGTTTGAGATGGCCTCTTACGCTGTAACGTTCTGTGATAGTTTGAGATGGCCTCTTACGCTTTAACGTTCATACCAAGTTTTGTAATAATCGGTAAAATACTTCAACATTTGAAGAGAAAGCACACAGCATGGTAATTCTATAAGCTTATTTCATTTCATTAAAGAAAATATAGCAGGTCATTAAAAATGTAACTGGCAACTGACTTAAGCCTGCAAAAGCTTGCATATAGAACAGCTGTACGCATAAAGCAGGATTAAGAAGCTTATATTACAACGGCCAGAGTTTGACACTGCAGGTGTGAGCTCGTGTTTTTGTGTATTTAGTAGGTTTATGCTTTAGTTCTTGGCCAGGACAGTAATTGGACTTACTGAGGATTTCCGCGAGTATACTCAATGGTTTGAAACAGTGCGTAGTCTTACCTGTTCATTTCTCATTTTTTCACTTCACCGCTCACAACAATTTGACACAAAGTTATGGAAGTGTTACTAATTTTTGTATTTTTTTTAATGATATTCAGTGAAGACTTGCCTCGAAAGCAAATTGTATGTTGTTAATACCGAATCAATTGCAGATTTTGTGGAGAATTCTGCACGTTTTATATTATTCTTCGTAGCAGAACTTTAAAATGTTATTCTTTCATTAAAACCAAAAAATATTTTTCTTAATTTATTTCCTTTCATCTTGCCGCTTTTGTGCCGAGAGTAGTGGCCTTCTTTTGTTTCGACATGCAGGAGACCGCGCAAGACAGAAGGCATTGGATGTCGTGGTAAATTGGAAGAAAATTACCCATGACGCACACAAATGTCCTCATCACCACCTACGAATTTTTCGTTGTATTCAATAGCTCAAAGAGACGGGTTGTGTTATAAAATGAGAATCAACTGGCAGACCTCATCTGAGGCACCTCTTGATTAAATCTGATGTCCTTCCGTATAGAAGTCAAAGCAATCAATTTCAGGGGAGTATTTTATATCTTGGGAAACCAAAATCTATAATTCAATGTGTTTGACGTGCACCCAATACACAAGCGCTCATTGGTACTCTTTCTTTTGACGGAATTCAATTAACGACTTCTTTGTATTACATAAGAGGCCATTAATTATGGACGAAGCCAGAGCTTGGGGAATGGGAATATTTCTTGCGTCGTTAATGCAGGTGGAAATTCAGATCGCCTTTAGATTGCAAGGAACGTTCTGGAGTTTTGGTGAAACTGCGCTGTACGCTCTCCTCTGACGCAATAAATCTGGCCGCGGAAACCATCTCCATTTAATTTTTCCCTCCCCTCAAATTAGCTCAACTGTGCCCTTTGTAACCATTAACTAGAGCCTGCTAGATGGACCAAGTTAATGCTGATGACTTTGCAGAAGTAGAGCAGATCAACCCATTCCCGAGCTCGGTTGGTATGTTGGATCATAATTTAACGACGCTGTACCAGTTGAAGAGTTTATTTTGCTCTGAATCAGATGAAAAGAGGAACAGAGCAGTTAGTTTTAATGGTAGTGATTCGGAGTATATGCGGAGGTTAGTTGGTTCGAATCTCGGCTTTGCTACTGGCTAACTTGTTTGCAATTATGGTTTTTCTCAGTTTATTCACGTGAATGTCGTCTCCTTCCTCTCATTTACGTACTCATTATTAATAATTATCATACCATGTAACGCTTTAAAATCTCAACTGAAAGAGCGTTGTTAAATTACGTAAAAAGTAACCAGGAGATACCGGGGTACAGTGAACTAGAAAGGACTACATGCTGTTGTATGACTCGTCATTGATCTCGATGTACTAAGCAAACTGCTTAAAATGTTAAGATAACAGCTTCCAGTGCCAAGACTTGGTTCATTATATCATACATCCGTTTCTGCGCAATGAGTCTTTTATGAAATATTAACAACGGATTATAATTTAATGGTCCGATGAGATCAGAAATGAAACTATCCAGAAAAATGTATCGGGCACAAACGTTTAGGAATTAGCCGATAAATGTAGGGTGCTTCTTGAGGTGAAACATATGGATGAACAGACAAACAAATAGAATTTTATCTTTATGTGTTCACTTTATGAATTTAGGACAAAGAACGCGTAACAAAATTTTGTGTTTTGTGATACATTATGACGCTAATTTTAGTACCTTCGTTAAAATAATAATGTTTTTCTATACTGCTGTAAAAGTAGCAAGAACATATAAACTATGATTTCTAATTATATTCTCACTGAAAGGAATGCAGCATGTTGCTACAGTAATTAGTTTCCACATACGTCTACTCGTGTGGGAGCAGTGGACGTTTGTTTCACTCTTATTTAATTTGAGTTTCAAGTCGCAGATAAAACACCGCGATGGTCTTTTGTTCGTGTGAGTTACGGCCTGTGTAATTAGTTGCAGGTACGAAGTACATGACATATATAAGAAGACTTCGTGTGGATATTTCAGCCACATTATATACTAGAAGAGTTCGCTATGCGTTTATTTAATGCTCTGTGGAATCTACAGTCTGCTGGGTCATGGGCCTCATGTATTGACGATCTAGTTAGCGTAGTGAATAACAAGACTGTTTTCTGGCTCGATGCACCATGTAGTCGGTTGAAGTTTGCCAATGTTACAGAAGTGCATGCTGCCTCCATCATCAGGGGTATGATAAATGATGGTAATGGTGGAAGCAGTAAGCACCTCTGGAACTTCGGCAAACTTTAACCAGAGTACACGTCGAAAAAAGTCAGAAGACAGCCATTTTCATAATCACTGCAGTTAGAATCTGAGATCTTGGCGTAGTGGTACAAATGGTGGTAGCATATAAGCTACTTAAATTTCGATCATAGATATTCTCGATGTGCATTTTTTTTTTTGGGTGCAACTTATAATCCCTGAGCGGAAATGATATTCTTTCTTCGTGATAAAAATTATGTACTAAACTGCACATAATCACAAATTATTTTGATAACAAAGCAAATGACACAATATATGTCTAATACGTTCTTATTTGTAAATCATTACAAATACAGAACATTGCAGAACATATTTACAGAGAAATATGTACATAACGAGCACGTATTTTGTTTCATTCGCCACTTGTTTGTAATAAGAGCAATTTTCAGCAAATTTTTAAAAAAATTAATTTTAAATAAAATGTTACAGCCTACTGTATATTACAGAGTGTCGATAAGTACTTAAATAAAATTGCACCGACAATTTTTCATGCAGACATTCAGTACCAGATTTAATTTAATTCGGTCAGTATTTCTTAATGTGGAACCTCCTGACAGACACACAGGCGTTACTTCATCGGTATCCTTGCATGCAAACGAAGCATAGAATGCAGTTCTACCTGATTTGAATCAGACCGATGCTGTATTAAGTACTGTCTAATGATTTTTTGAAACGTGGTATTCGATCTGTGCACGTATCGATAACGTGCTCATTAGTAATCAGTTTGTATAAGAAGAACGTCTCAGTTACGAGGCATTGCTTTCACAAAGTTAAATTGATGCAATCAGAAGGAATGAAAACAAGAGGCAGTCATTTTTGTTGCGTGTGAAAGTTTGACATGGCCACCACGCGCAGGTGCGTGTATTTATTATACAAGTGCCTGATTTATCATCATACCATTACCTAGTTACTCATGTTGATTAAAATCTCGTTACCATTGTTGTGCTTGAACTTTGGCCTTGACAGGAAAAAATATCCGAAGCTAAAACTTCCCTTTCTTTTAATGTTAAAATGTAAGCTAACTTGGTTTTATGGATTCTGTGTGACTGGACGGAATCTCGCATCAGTAATAAAATACCGCGTATCATCGAATCTCGCATCAGTAATAAAATACCGCATATCATCATTATCATTATTAGGATCCAGAATTTCCGAGCGATTTTGACTAAAACCAGTATGGTAAATATAGTTGAAAACATCACATTTTTATTGCAACTTATCATGATTTCGCTGTTAACATATCTCGTTCTCTGAATGGATTTATAGTAAATAACCTGCCATTTATTGTAACGGCGATGCTTCAATTAATGGATTAATTTAAAGATAAATCGTTGTTAATCTGCTAAAATATATGGTGCAGTACACCTGTATCTGTACTCTTCAGTTCGGGTCGTTGAGTCCTTTCTTACCCCCGTGGACTCTAATCGCCACCACGGGACTGAATGAAACCGCAAATGGAACGAAGGAGTAATCTATTCTCGTTAAAGAGGGTCCAGGCCCGACCCTAATGTATATGGCTTCGTGATTACAGTTCATAAGGGAAGTAAGGGCACATTGCAACAGCGCCGTTTGTCTCTTTGTTTCTTTAAACTAGCGCACTGTTGAGAGCAGCGAAAATACCATCACAGTGCTTTCGTCAGTACGGTGATGAACACGGAC